ACATAATCAGTCATTTGATTTAACGGTTATGTCCAGTCTTAAATGTCATCTCTATTTAATCATGGATGTTTGAAATTTTCCGAAATAATTAGCAAGTTAATCGATAACCATACTGTGTGGATCTTCATCGTGTTCCGGACATATTCATTATTTAGGAATTGTTCTCGTTTAGTAATATCAAATGTGTGATGTATGTGGTTTCCAGCTTAAATTTACAGGAAGTTGAAACAGTATGTTATGTGTAAAGCTTTTAACACGAAAATGTAAATAATATTTATTGACTGCACATATGAAAGGGCAGGGGGAAAAAACACATTCATGGCGAGTTTCCTGCCAGCAATCCTTCTACGTCTACTTCTACCAGATAATGGCCAATTTCAACAGGTTGAAGGTTTATTCATATATGGTTGGCTGTGACAAGAATTGGAGAGAAACAGAATTAATGATGGAGTGATGAAAATGCCAATTTGAAGGAAGATAATGTGTCTGCTGATGAAATTTCAGGCTCAAGTATATTTCATCGGGCATTGATTGTCTGGAGAAAGAAGTATTCTTTCCTTATGTTCTGTAAGAAATAGTGTGGAAACAATTTGCCTGACAGTGTCTTGTAGGTTTTGTAGTGGAAACCAGGTGTTTGGCTTGATAATTCATGATTCTGCACAACTCAGCCTCAAAGAGGCATGTTCTGCCAGCTGTGTGTCAGAGACCTATTTACTATGTACAACTCATATTCACTCGCTCCATTTACATCTTTTAATGCACAGTACAACAGCTGTGCTTTAGTGTTTACTTTTGATACAGTGCAGATATACACACATGGTATAAAGAAAACATACAGTACAACATATATACTCAAATAAGGACATACATTAATAATGTAGATGTCACATCAGGCTGGAGACTCATCCTGTTAGCTTAGAATTAGGTATACATTGTAGCTTACAATAAGGTATACATTGTAGCTTAAAATAAGGTATACATTGTAGCTTAAGCTGTAGCTATCTGATAAAACATGATACCTCGCTACCAGTCTGTTATGATTTATTCTCTCGGTTTGAGCTTATCTTATTAGTCAATCCCTGGCATACTTTTGGAAGGTCTGAAGAATTCTGACTATCTGTGATTTTATTTTTGCTATAACTGGCATCGGCTACAATGAAGACAAAGATCAAATTTCACATAGTCAGAAATCTTTCTCTAACTTTCAGGTATCCAGGTGAAAGGCAAAAGACCCATGATGTGTTAATGTTTGATATACTTTGTGTAATCTGTGATGCTATTGGTGGAAGTGACCTAGATCTCTATATATAGATCAGGATTCCTTTAGTGATTTATGGATCTCCATAGAAACCAGCGACTTTTTTAAACTATTTTTTCTACTTTAGTCATAGTGTTGTGGCTATAATGAAGGGATTTTAAAAGATTTGAATTACAAATTAAAAGGATTCATTTAATAAGTGATATTTCAAAACAACAATTGCTAATTTTTTTATGCTATGGCTTTAAAAATCATAATATATAATTTTTTAACAAAAGCCAAATATTGTAGCTTGTTAATGTGAAAAGTTGACAGGAATTATTTGTTACTAAAAGGAAAGTTATTATGTTACATTACAAAATCACTCTGCTTTTTACCAGCAGTGTTTGTATTATACATCCCTATTTTTTCTTCACTAACTAAATTAGTTAGGAGAAAAATGATATAAAATGACAACAAGGCTTGTATATGTACGTTTATGTAATTTAACTGCACTAGCTGTTTTCCTGTGCATACAGCGTTCCTTACAGCTAGTCTGAGTGACGGTTGATATAATGGTAATAGGCTGAATTATTCTGTGTTTAGTGTTTTTGTATTGGACTTGACATGATGTTTATTGACTCTGGACGCATATGAAAAGGTAAGTAGAATAACTAAGCTGGTGATGTTGATATTGGAAATAAACAAAACATCTGACGCATCACACAACACATCAACGATTATATAACTGACTTTCAAAGTGAGATTCAAGAGAAGTTGGTTTATATGCTGCACTATACATAAAAGTCAATATTTCTGAAAGATGATTTACTGTACGTGTTGTGTGTACTTAAAACTTAAATAATGGGCTGGCAAGCAGATACATCTGGCAGTATGAACAACAGCTTTATGTAAAAATGATACTGATAATGGATACAGGGTTGCAACGACTACAAAATTCATACACATGAAATGGAATGCATAAATGTAAGTGACTGAAAAAACTTGATTTACAGTCAAACCTGGTTATATTGAAATCCTTGGGGAATGACAAAATACTTTAAGTTATCCAGGTTTCAATATAACCAGGGACAAGTTTGTTAGACTTTGTTCGCCGTTCAATGAACATCTTATCAATGTGGGAAAATAAAATGAGGTGGAGGAGTCCAAAGTCCTGTGAGTGGTACTAGTTGGTAGATGTATCGGTAGAACCAACGTCCTGTGAGTGGTACTAGTTGGTAGATGTATCGGTAGAACCAACGTCCTGTGAGTGGTACTAGTTGGTAGATGTATCGGTAGAACCAACGTCCTGTGAGTGGTACTAGTTGGTAGATGTATCGGTAGAATAATCCTAGGTGGATCAGAAGGATTCTAGCAGAGCTCTATAGACGATAGGTACTAACCACCAAATAAAGGATGGAGCATCAACACCAAGGATTCCATGATCGGTAGTTTTATTTGGTTGACATGTTTCAACTAGCTAGGCTAGCCGTCATCAGAACAGCGGTACAAGTATCGGCATAGCTAAGCTTAAAATTACGGTTCAGCCGTGACGTAATAACGCATTGTCTTGATCACGTGATGATAACAATTAATCTTATCAATGTGTACGATAGTGTAAGGTACAGGTAAAATACTTGTATATGCAACAAACAAAACACAATATATCTGCATTTAAATCAACAGTTCATGGAAGAAAAATCAAACCAAGATTAACATAGATTGTGTTTCATTTAGTTTGAAAGATGTTTGTCAAAGTTGTCTGTAGTTTGCAATCTCACTTTTAGCTTTTTCCTTTTGATCAACAGATTGAATCAGTTCCTACTTTTCATGAATCATAAGTTGTGTACGTGTTTTGTGGAGGAAGCCATTAGAACTGTCACTCTGTTTCTGTAGACTGACTTAGGTATATGTCTGAATAGCAAACAACACACTGATTAATACTGATTGATATATTTCTGTTGTATCCAACTTTTACATGGTTACTGACATCGTAATCACCAAAGCGTGACAATGCCTTCAATTGTGGGTCAAAGTGGCTTTTAAATTAAATGATGTGAAAACAATAAATTTGTGTTGCTTAGAGATAGAATTTACATTTCAAATGAAGTGGGATTTCAAATTAACTGAGTTCAAATTAAGCGATATATAAATACAAAGATAAGGAAGACATTTGGCCAGGAATTTCATCTTCTTTAAAATTAAGTGGTATTTCAATATGTCTGAGTTCAAATTAAGTGGGTTTGACTGTATATCAGTTTAATTTTGATAGTTGAAAAAAGTGTCACTGAAACAGCAAATTTAATATGAGGTAATTTACTGAAAATCATGCATGAAATGTTAGAATTGTGTTCAAGCTACAGCTATCATCAGTTGTCTCAGAAGTCTTTTCTCTTTCTTTCCTTTTTTTATACAATCTTTTTTGTTTAGGATGACATATAGACATACACAAAAATCTTGTTGTTGTTTATCCAATTATGTTTGATTGTGTTGCTAGGTATTCTTATACTGAATTGAAAAAAATCTTTGACATATATGCGATAACATACACATAATTCTCTGATAAACTCAGCATTTGGTGAAAACATTGTGAAAGTAGGACCACAACTCACTTTTGCTTTATCACTTTTCTTTTATGGAAAGTAAGTTTTGATCGAAAAAGTTATGATAATTTCCAAGATTTCGTCACAAGTATTTATATTTTCTGTAAATCTTCTGCTGATTGGTTGGATGCATGAAATGCTGAGTTAAATTTTCACCAGACTTTCCCCTGAGTTAAATTTTCACCAGACTTTCTCCTGAGTTAAATTTTCACCACACTTTCCCCTGAGTTAAATTTTCACCACACTTTCCCATGAGTTAAATTTTCACCACACTTTCCCCTGAGTTAAATTTTCACCAAACTTTCCCCTGAGTTAAATGTTCACCAGACTTTCCCCTGAGTTAAATTTTCACCACACTTTCTCCTGAGTTAAATTTTCACCACACTTTCCCCTGAGTTAAATTTTCACCACACTTTCCCCTGAGTTAAATATTCACCAGACTTTCCCCTGAGTTAAATTTTCACCAGACTTTCCCCAGAGTTAAACTTTCACGAAACTTTCCCATGAGTTAAACTTTCACGAAACTTTCCCCTGAGTTAAATTTTCACCACACTTTCCCCTGAGTTAAATTTTCACCACACTTTCCCCTGAGTTAAATTTTCACCAAACTTTCCCCTGAGTTAAATTTTCACCAGACTTTCTCCTGAGTTAAATTTTCACCAGACTTTCCCCTGAGTTAAATTTTCACCACACTTTCCCCTGAGTTAAATTTTCACCACACTTTCCCCTGAGTTAAATTTTCACCAGACTTTCCCCTGAGTTAAATTTTCACCACACTTTCCCATGAGTTAAATTTTCACCAGACTTTCTCCTGAGTTAAATTTTCACCAGACTTTCTCCTGAGTTAAATTTTCACCAGACTTTCCCCTGAGTTAAATTTTCACCACACTTTCCCATGAGTTAAATTTTCACCAGACTTTCCCCTGAGTTAAATTTTCACCACACTTTCCCATGAGTTAAATTTTCACCACACTTTCCCATGAGTTAAATTTTCACCAGACTTTCCCCTGAGTTAAATTTTCAACAGACTTTCCCCTGAGTTAAATTTTCACCAGACTTTCCCCTGAGTTAAATTTTCAACAGACTTTCCCGTGTTTATTCTTGTTTCACTTTTTTGTGGTATCTTATTCACAGTGCTGCCATTTTCTGCAGATATGAGTTGAGACCTTGAAGAATCCCACAATATGGCTACAGTATTAGATAAAATTTCTCTCAGTGAAAGGAAGATTCAAGAAATTGTCAAGAAAACAAAGGAGCATGTATTACTATATGGTTTGTATATCTGGGACTTAATTTTGTAAAGGACCACTTGGTTTGTAAATTTAGGACTTAATTTTGTAAAGGACCACTTGGTTTGTTTATCGGGGACTTAATTTTGTAAAGGACCACTTGGTTTGTATATCGGGGACTTAATTTTGTAAAGGACCACTTGGTTTGTTTATCGGGGACTTAATTTTGTAAAAGACCTCTTGGTTTGTATATCTGTGACTTAATTTTGTAAAAGACCTCTTGGTTTGTATATCGGGGACTTAATTTTGTAAAGGACCACTTGGTTTGTATATCTGGGACTTAATTTTGTAAAGGACCACTTGGTTTGTAAATTTAGGACTGAATTTCATAAAAGGAGACATATTGTTTATGATAACAGGACAAAAACATATTGTTTATGATAACAGGACGAAGACATATTGTTTATGATAACAGGACGAAGACATATTGTTTATGATAACAGGACGAAGACATATTGTTTATGATAACAGGACGAAGACATATTGTTTATGATAACTGGACGAAGACATATTGTTTATGATAACAGGACGAAGACATTGTTTATGATAACAGGACGAAGACATATTGTTTATGATAACAGGATGAAAACATATTGTTTATGATAACAGGACGAAGACATATTGTTTATGATAACAGGATGAAAACATATTGTTTATGATAACAGGACGAAGACATATTGTTTATGATAACAGGACGAAGACATATTGTTTATGATAACAGGACGAAGACATATTGTTTATGATAACAGGATGAAAACATATTGTTTATGATAACAGGACATATTGTTTATGATAACAGGACGAAGACATATTGTTTATGATAACAGGATGAAAACATATTGTTTATGATAACAGGACGAAGACATATTGTTTATGATAACAGGACGAAGACATATTGTTTATGATAACAGGACAAAGACATATTGTTTATGATAACAGGACGAAGACATATTGTTTATGATAACATGACTCACCTTTAAAGGATTATCTATTGGGTTAGTTGGCTACAAACTGCTTTAAAACAAAGTTATATATATGAATCACATCATGTATAAGTCATGGATGTCAATAATTCTTTTACTGGTAATAAACATCAACACAATAACTGTAATATCTAATTTCAACATGAAGATGTACGTCTTGTTTTGTGTGAAAAAACCCCTTAAGATAATTGTTTTTATCAACAGGTATAATTATGAGAACAGCAGAATCTCCAGGGAATTCAGACAAAGTCCAGCATGCTCCTTTCACTCTTTTCCCTTGTTTGGTACCCCGAGGGGCTCTGGCTAAGGTAAAGTCAATACAAGTACACTTCAACAGGCTGATGCATATGGCAGCACATGACACTGAATTTCTACAAGAGTGTCTGAGCAAGTGAGTTTTATGGTGCTTCTTCTGAATCTTTCTTTTTTATTTTGGTGAGAGCTGTTGTAAATTAACCCCTTTTCAAAATCAAAAATGTCTGATCTACATAAACCCTCTGCAAAGTAATCAAGACAACAAGTACAGAAAAGTTTATACAATATCTATGTTTCAAAACCGGATAGTGACATCTGTATGATAAAGCCTATAGTATACTGGAATGAGTATGGTGAAGTTTATTCAAGGTAACAGCTTAAAAGTATGTTGAAAAAGATTCTGAATAAACTGAGGAAGCATACAGGGATATCGTTTTGCCAAACTGTACCATGTGTTCTGATAAATCATATTTACAACAATCAAATGAAAACACTTGGATCACTTTTGAGGTAAAAGTTAAAGAATTGTATCCTGTTGGGATAAGAATCTATCAACTCTGGTCAGGTTTATGACTTCAAGTCGAGGTCACAGGTGTGGAATATTGAATGAAGTTTTTTAGGTAAAAATTAATGTTGATATGAATGTTATTGCTTCTGTACTTGATGGTGTTAAGACCTAAATGTTTTTGAATGATTAAAGTAAGATGACTCATGTTAATGGGATAATTGAAGTATGATGACACATGTTACGGGATAATTGAAGTATGATGACACATGTTACGGGATGACTGAAGTATGATGACACATGTTACGGGATGACTGAAGTATGATGACACATGTTACGGGATGACTGAAGTATGATGACACATGTTACGGGATGATTGAAGTATGATGACACATGTTACGGGATGACTGAAGTATGATGACACATGTTACGGGATGTATGATGACACATGTTAATGATTGAAGTATGATGACACATGTTACGGGATCATTGAAGTATGATGACACATGTTACAGGATAATTGAAGTTACGGGATGACTGAAGTATGATGACACATGTTATGGGATAATTGAAGTAAGATGACTCATGTTAATGGGATGATTGAAGTATGATGACACATGTTATGGGATAATTGAAGTATGATGACACATGTTATGGGATAATTGAAGTATGATGACACATGTTATGAAGTATGATGACACATGTTACGGGATGAGTATGATGACACATGTTACGGGATGACTGAAGTATGATGACACATGTTACGGGATGACTGAAGTATGATGACACATGTTATGGGATAATTGAAGTATGATGACACATGTTATGGGATAATTGAAGTATGATGACACATGTTACGGGATGATTGAAGTATGATGACACATGTTATGGGATAATTGAAGTATGATGACACATGTTACGGAATGATTGAAGTATGATGACACATGTTATGGGATAATTGAAGTATGATGACACATGTTACGGGATGATTGAAGTATGATGACACATGTTATGGGATAATTGAAGTATGATGACACATGTTATGGGATAATTGAAGTATGATGACACATGTTACAGGATAATTGAAGTATGATAACACATGTTTTGTGGATGATTAAAGTATGATGACACATGTTACGGGATGATTGAAGTATGATGACACATGTTACGGGATGATTAAAGTATGATGACACATGTTACGGGATGATTGAAGTATGATGACACATGTTATGGGATGACTGAAGTATGATGACACATGTTACGGGATGACTGAAGTATGATGACACATGTTACGGGATGACTTAAGTATGATGACACATGTTACGGGATGATTGAAGTATGATGACACATGTTACAGGATGATTAAAGTATGATGATACATGTTTGGGGATGATTGAAGTATGATGACACATGTTACGGGATGACTGAAGTATGATGACACATGTTACGGGTTGATTTAATTATGATGACACTTGTTACGTGATGATTATAGTATGATACACATGTTACGGGTGATTGAAGCATGATGACACATGTTACGGGATGACTGAAGTATGATGACACATGTTACGGGATGATTGAAGTATGATGACACGTTACGGGATGATTGAAGTATGATGACACATGTTACGGGATGATTGAAGTATGATGACACATGTTACGGGATGATTGAAGTATGATGACACATGTTACGGGATGACTGAAGTAAGATGACACATGTTACGGGATGATTAAAGTATGATGACACATGTTACGGGATGACTGAAGTATGATGACACATGTTACGGGATGATTAAAGTATGATGACACATGTTACGGAATGATTGAAGTATGATGATACATGTTTGGGGATGATTGAAGTATGATGACACATGTTACGGGATGACTGAAGTAAGATGACATGTTACGGCATGATTAAAGTATGATGACACATGTTACGGGATGACTGAAGTATGATGACACATGTTACGGGATGACTGAAGTATGATGACACATGTTACGGGATGACTGAAGTATGATGACACCGGATGATTGAAGTATGATGACACATGTTACGGGATGACTGAAGTATGATGACACATGTTACGGGATGACTGAAGTATGATGACACATGTTACGGGATGACTGAAGTATGATGACACATGTTACGGGATGATTGAAGTATGATGACGCATGTTACGGGATGATTGAAGTATGATGACACATGTTACAGGATGATTGAAGTATGATGACACATGTAACGGGATGATTGAAGTAAGATGACACATGTTATGGGATGATTAAAGTATGATGACACATTTTACGGGATGATTAAAGTATGATGACACATGTTACGGGATGATTGAAGTATGATGACACATGTTACGGGGTGATTAAAGTATGATGACACATGTTACGGGATGATTGAAGTATGATGACACATGTTACGGGATGATTGAAGTATGATGACACATGTTACGGGATGATTGAAGTATGATGACACATGTTACGGGATGACTGAAGTATGATGACACATGTTACGGGATGATTGAAGTATGAGATGACACATGTTACGGGATGATTGAAGTATGATGACCCATGTTACGGGATGATTGAAGTATGATGACACATGTTACGGGATGATTGAAGTATGATGACATGTTACCGGATGATTGAAGTATGATGACACATGTTACGGGATGATTGAAGTATGATGACACATGTTACGGGATGATTGAAGTATGATGACACATGTTACGGGATGACTGAAGTATGATGACACATGTTATGGGATGACTGAAGTATGATGACACATGTTACGGGATGACTGAAGTATGATGACACATGTTACGGGATGACTGAAGTATGATGACGCATGTTACGGGATGATTGAAGTATGATGACGCATGTTACGGGATGATTGAAGTATGATGACACATGTTACAGGATGATTGAAGTATGATGACACATGTTACGGGATGATTGAAGTAAGATGACACATGTTATGGGATGATTAAAGTATGATGACACATTTTACGGGATGATTAAAGTATGATGACACATGTTACGGGATGATTGAAGTATGATGACACATGTTATGGGATGACTGAAGTATGATGACACATGTTACGGGATGATTGAAGTATGATGACACATGTTACGGGATGACTTAAGTATGATGACACATGTTACGGGATGATTGAAGTATGATGACACGTGTTATGGGATGATTAAAGTATGATGATACATGTTTGGGGATGATTGAAGTATGATGACACATGTTACGGGATGACTGAAGTATGGTGACACATGTTACGGAATGATTGAAGTATGATGACACATGTTACGGGATGATTGAAGTATGATGACACATGTTACGGGATGATTGAAGTATGATGACATGTTACCGGATGATTGAAGTATGATGACACATGTTACGGGATGATTGAAGTATGATGACGCATGTTACGGGATGATTGACGTATGATGACGCATGTTACGGATGATTGAAGTATGATGACACATGTTACGGGATGATTGAAGTATGATGACACATGTTACGGGATGATTAAAGTAAGATGACACATGTTATGGGATGATTAAAGTATGATGACACATTTTACGGGATGATTAAAGTATGATGACACATGTTTTGTGGATGATTAAAGTAAGATGACACATGTTACGGGATGATTAAAGTATGATGACACATGTTACGGTATGATTGAAGTATGATGACACATGTTATGGGATGACTGAAGTATGATGACACATGTTACGGGATGACTGAAGTATGATGACACATGTTACGGGATGATTGAAGTATGATGACACGTTACGGGATGATTGAAGTATGATGATACATGTTACGGAATGATTGAAGTATGATGACACGTTACGGGATGATTGAAGTATGATGATACATGTTTGGGGATGATTGAAGTATGATGACACATGTTACGGGATGACTGAAGTAAGATGACACATGTTACGGGATGATTAAAGTATGATGACACATGTTACGGGATGACTGAAGTATGATGACACATGTTATGGGATGACTGAAGTATGATGACACATGTTACGGGATGACTGAAGTATGATGACACATGTTACGGGATGATTGAAGTATGATGACACATGTTACGGGATGATTAAAGTATGATACACATGTTACGGGTGATTGAAGCATGATGACACATGTTACGGGATGACTGAAGTATGATGACACATGTTACGGGATGATTGAAGTATGATGACACATGTTACGGGATGATTAAAGTATGATGATAAATGTTACGGGATGATTGAAGTATGATGACACATGTTACGGGATGATTGAAGTATGATGACACATGTTACGGGATGATTAAAGTATGATACACATGTTACGGGATGATTAAAGTATGATACACATGTTACGGGTGATTGAAGTATGATGATAAATGTTACGGGATGATTAAAGTATGATGATAAATGTTACGGGATGATTGAAGTATGATGACACATGTTACAGGATGATTAAAGTATGATGACACATGTTTGGGGATGATTAATGTTTTGGTGATCACATTCAACCCTATATAGATTTAAAATATTGTAGTTTACTTAAATAATTCACTTACAAATGTTTTCCAGTGTCGTAAAAGTTGATGATTTCAATAAGCGTCTTTGGGATATTTTACTAGTAGTGGCTGAGGAAGGTGTTGCACAGGTGAGTTATCTCCGAAATTACCAAGCAATTACTGAAGTATAATGGTGGCATGGTTTTAAATGACTTCAGGTGTTAGTGTGAAACAGCATTATGTCTGTTGTAACTGCCTTTCAGCAGAAGAGAAAATACTCCACTGCCTCTCATGCTACAACATCAGCGGTGGTCAGGACCAGATAAAGTATTATTATGGTTGAGGAAGACATTTTCCTAATTTAATCAGAATGATTCAAGGTCAATAGATGTGAGTCACTTCTAATTTCTGATCACATTAATGAACTGATATTGAATTAATTTTGTTTCTACGTTCAGCCTGTCAGTCTTGGCTTGTTCCGTAACGACTATATGATGGATGTGAAACAAGGGACCTCTGTTGACCAGACGACCCAAGCTTCCATACCAGAGAATATACAGATGAAACAGATAGAGTTCAACATGATTGCATCAAGTTTTGGTGGTCTGGTATCTCCACTGTATAATGTTCATCGGTGAGTTGTTTTGATTCTTTGTTCTTGCATTGTGTCTTCAGGCCTCTGACCCCTTGACCACTGCAGGCCTCTGACCCCTTGACCAGTGCAGGCCTCTGACCCCTTGACCACTGCAGGCCTCTGACCCCTTGACCAGTGCAGGCCTCTGACCCCTTGACCACTGCAGGCCTCTGACCCCTTGACCAGTGCAGGCCTCTGACCCCTTGACCACTGCAGGCCTCTGACCCCTTGACCACTGCAGGCCTCTGACCCCTTGACCACTGCAGGCCTCTGACCCCTTGACCACTGCAGGCCTCTGACCCCTTGACCACTGCAGGCCTCTGACCCCTTGACCAGTGCATGCCTCTGACCCCTTGACCACTGCAGGCCTCTGACCCTTGACCAGTGCACGCCTCTGACCCCTTGACCAGTGTACACTTTGTTATATAGGTGACCCAGTCACCTCCTATTGATGGTCAGCTTCTGCTTGTCCATTATGATGTGTATCATTGAAATATAAATGCCCCACAAAAACGTTTCACTTAGGTAAAGCACAAATAGTTTAGGTCATTCATTAATTGATATTTTGATTAAGATAAACACAAAAATTGAGACACATGAACTATTTCTGGAATATTAAAAAATTCCATTAAACAAAATGTAATATGCATATACAAGCTGATTCACATTATCCACCATCACCATGGCAACTTTTTAGACTTGTTAATTTAACAGAAGACAGCAAACTCTACATATCAGTTGAAACTGGCTGTTTTCTATAAACGACTTATACATAAAGATGTACATGTACAACAAATTTCAATAAATGTACATAAACAAAACTTTCTTGTAAATATCATTTTGAGAAATGTCACTTGAAAACAAAGTATAAAACAGCTTCACTTTACCATGTTAGGGGTTCACTTTAACATGGGCTTCATTTTACCATACTATGTCAGGAACTCTGAATTCTCTGTGTTGTGACTGAGCTACCTGGTCACCGGTTGTCACCTCGACTAGTCTCACTGCACTCTGTTCTTTTCCTTAGTCTACAAAGACAAATCTTGTAGTTTTTATCCTTTGTCAATTACACATGCTTTGTTTGAAACAAGGGTTGGTCACAGACACCAGTTTATTATGAGAGAGAATATATAACAGATTGAGATTCAAACTGAAGACATGTGAGCTCTATAAATGAACTCTCATACCAATTCACTTTAATATGAAAACATGATTTTCTATATAAGGTCATAAATATATCTGTTACATGTATTTCAATTTACCCAGGTACTCTCTGACAATTGCTGGTAAAAAGTTTGATGATTCACAAGTAAGTGTTTTTACTGTTTTTTCCAACCTGGAAGTTTTATATGTATACATGTATATGTAAAAATTATAAAATTGATTTAATTATGGACCTAGTTCACCTCCCCATCAAGATTGTGACTTCTCTTTCCATTACTTCAGACTTTTTTCATTTGCTCCCAAGGCTTCATCAGCATCACTGACATGTCCCAGAAGTACAAAACAGCTGTATGATGCAGTTTAATTCATTGTTTGACTCTGCTGTACTTAAATCTAAACTTGTACTAAAAAGTTGATTGCTATCCACCTGATGATACATGTTTTGTTTAATCTTTGATCTTGTTTTACTTTAGAAATGACATTTATTGTTCATCTTGATTGAAAGACACTACTACAAGCCACCACAAACAAGCATACTGTAGTTTAGGTAGGGACCTGCCCTACCGTTCACACATTATTTACTGTTACTTATTACTTGTGATATCAATACTTGAAATTTGTTATCTGTAGCACTGTCACCATTTACATTGTATATATATGACTGAACTTATATTGACTGCAGCTTATTGAAAAAGTAAATCAACACAGATTTCTATCTTTAAATAATGATTGTCAGCTTTCCATGGAGGAGATAGCTGATATGGATCTCCTATTTTACAACTAGATATTCAGCGACTCTTTCCTGTCGATGCATTATAGTATTAAAATGTAGACAATTTATAAGATTTACTGATAATTCATGTCTTGAATTGTGTGAGTCAAAACTTTGTGTTGGAAGTAATACTTTGTGTTGGAAGTAATACTTTGTGTTTGAGTCAATACTTTGTGTTGGAAGTAATACTTTGTGTTTGAGTCAGTGCTTTGTGTTGGAATTAATACTTTGAATTTGAGTCAATAATTTGTGTATGAGTCAATACTTTGGATTTGAGTCAATACTTTGGGTTTGAGTCAGTACTTTGTGTACGAGTCAATACTTTGGATTTGAGTCAGTACTTTGGGTTTGAGTCAGTACTTTGTGTACGAGTCAATACTTTGGATTTGAATCAATACTTTGGGTTTGAGTCAGTACTTTGGGTTTGAGTCAGTGCTTTGTATTTGTCTATTATCAGTTTGACAAAAATTTTGAAAATATGTAGATTCTTTTTTGAAACATTTCACCTGTGATGTCCAACTTTGTATATGACATCATTGCTAAGGTTACAGGAAAAGCAGTACTAAGTAAGACTCAAATGAAAATTAACTGAAGATATGCATCAAGAAAAAAAATTTGAAAGGTATGGATATTGAATCAAAACATGTGATGTGTTATATCTGACTGTTTTGTGTGTGTCTCATTCCTTAGGTAGAAAATATCTGAAAAGTGGATGACTTAAAGTCATTTAAATCTTATTTATGAAATGTAATACTTTGTATAGGTACCTGAGAACAACCCAGCTAAGGAACTAGCCAAAGGATTAGTGGAAGGATGGAAGGCGTATGGAAACAAAAGGTAAAACTTCCTTGATAAGAGAGATTTATTGTGAGAAAAATTAACCTTCACCTTCCTGTGATGTTCTCAACCCTTGGGATAAGATTCTTTTAGGATTTGTCTTGAAATATTTGTATTGTAACACAGATTATATATGTGCATTCCAGGGCATGTGTGTTGTTTCTGGTGTCCGATCCAGAGAGGAATACTCTTGACCAGAGACGAATTGATGCAGAAATATTTTCCTGTGACAGAACAGTTTCTGTTAAATATGCCACCTTCAGAGATATGAATGATCGAGGCAGTAAAAGGATTAGTGACAAAGCATTAGTTATGTGAGTAACAAAAGTGTGGAGGAGGTTTGATCAGGAAAACGAAATTGCCAACAGGGGACCATTTGCTTATGAGGAGGTTTCAAATCTTCTATAATTAAAAGCAAGAATAAAGAATAGAAATGATCAAACTTTTTTGAAAGAAGAAATAAAATTTGAATGTTGGTATTAGCAGTGATGTATAGCACAATGTCTATTAGGATTTAAACATCCTTCTACATGTATCTTGCAAATGCCTTCTTACCTGGTGATGAATTTATGACCTGTTCAGAATATAAAAATGTTATTCCAAGCTTGTGATCAGAAATCATAAGTAAGTTAAGCTTTGGAATCAAAGATTTACACAAAAATGTTTCAAACATTGAAAATAGAAGATCACCTATAAATACATGATAATTATATACTTAACCTATATAATTGTTCTCAAACATTCAAACTTATTGACCTTTTAAAACACCCTGTCACCTTACACTTTAATGATTGTAGGTCAGTGACACCGATAATTGTGAGTCTTGTCTAAGTATTTGTGTTTTCCAGAGATGGCTGTGAGGTGGCCGTCGTTTATTTCCGTACTGATCACTGTGAGTCTTGTCTAAGTATTTGTGTTTTCCAGAGATGGCTGTGAGATGGCCGTCGTTTATTTCCGTACTGATCACTGTGAGTCTTGTCTAAGTATCTGTGTTTTCCAGAGATGGCTGTGAGATGGCCGTCGTTTATTTCCGTACTGATCACTGTGAGTCTTGTCTAAGTATTTGTGTTTTCCAGAGATGGCTGTGAGATGGCCGTCGTTTATTTCCGTACTGATCACTGTGAGTCTTGTCTAAGTATTTGTGTTTTCCAGAGATGGCTGTGAGATGGCCGTCGTTTATTTCCGTACTGATCACTGTGAGTCTTGTCTAAGTATTTGTGTTTTCCAGAGATGGCTGTGAGATGGCCGTCGTTTATTTCCGTAATGATCAAAGTGAGTCTTGTCAAAGTATTTGTGTTTTCCAGAGATGGCTGTGAGATGGCCGTCGTTTATTTCCGTACTGATCACTGTGAGTCTTGTCTAAGTATTTGTGTTTTCCAGAGATGGCTGTGAGATGGCCGTCGTTTATTTCCGTACTGATCACTGTGAGTCTTGTCTAAGTATTTGTGTTTTCCAGAGATGGCTGTGAGGTGGCCGTCGTTTATTTCCGTACTGATCACTGTGAGTCTTGTCTAAGTATTTGTGTTTCTAGAGATGGCTGTGAGGATCACTGTGAGTCTAAGTATTTGTTTTCCATAGTTTAGAGATGGCTGTGAGATGGCCGTCGTTTATTTCCGTACTGATCACTGTGAGTCTTGTCTAAGTATTTGTGTTTTCCAGAGATGGCTGTGAGATGGCCGTCGTTTATTTCCGTACTGATCACTGTGAGTCTTGTCTAAGTATTTGTGTTTTCCAGAGATGGCTGTGAGGTGGCCGTCGTTTATTTCCGTACTGATCACTGTGAGTCTTGTCTAAGTATTTGTGTTTTCCAGAGATGGCTGTGAGGTGGCCGTCGTTTATTTCCGTACTGATCACTGTGAGTCTTGTCTAAGTATTTGTGTTTTCCAGAGATGGCTGTGAGGTGGCTGTTGTTTATTTCCGTACTGGATACAGTCCCGAGGACTACAGTTCTGATAAGGTACAAACAGGAAATTATTGAAAATCCACTACTGATTACCGAAAAATCTTATCAGTGAAGGAGATGTTTTCAATTACTTTCAACACGTGTGTGGTGTATTTTACATGATCAAACTTGGATTTGAATCACAATGTATTGATTTTCATATAAAATTTTTGCCTGCAGTAGTTTGCTTATTTCAGTTCACAGCAATATATCAATTTATATAATTTTGATTATTTTTTGAATACTGAAGATTTGTGTTTCAAAATTGTCAGCTGGAATTGCAAATTTTTAGAAAATTTTCATATGACTTCATTTGTTTTGCTTTTCTTATAATTAGGATTGGGATACACGTCTGATGATTGAACGATCAAAAGCTATCAAGTGTCCAAGCATCCAGTACCAATTAGCAGGTACAAAGAAAGTCCAGCAGGAGCTTTGTCGACCTGGAGCTGTGGAAAGGTTCATTAAGGATGCTGATATAGCACTGGCTATCAGAGAGACATTTGCATATCAGTACAGCCTAGACATGGTAAACAGTCAAACTGATCCTACCTCTCCTGAACCTGCCTGTTTTCTCAATTTTTATATGTACAGAATAAAATTGATACTTCTATACAGAAATTAATCCTTGTAAATGGCATTTTTATTCAACAGTCATTAAAATGTGTTATGATATTTAGTACATGTATCTTGCATTTCCTGTGGAAAAAGTTGTACAAAGAATATCTTTCTTATTTATTGTGACTGTGATTTGCACATACTGTATATTGTAGGGTGAGGACGGCGATAGAGGGATAGAAAAGGCTTTTGCTAATCCTCAGAACTATGTCCTTAAACCAAACAGGGAAGGTGGAGGTAGGTAAAGGTTGATTAAAAGTGACAGAGATGGTAGGTTAAGTTACTGTAACCCTGACAGTGAGGGTGGAGGTAGGTAAAGTTACTGAAACCCTGACAGGGAGGATGGAGGTTGATCAAGTTACTGAAACCCTGACAGTGAGGATGGAGGTTGATCAAGTTACTGAAACCCTGACAGGGAGGATGGAGGTTGATCAAGTTACTGAAACCCTGACAGGGAGGATGGAGGTTGATCAAGTTACTGAAATCCTGACAGGGAGGATGGAGGTAGGTAAAGTTACTGAAACCCTGACAGGGAGGATGGAGGTTGATCAAGTTACTGAAATCCTGACAGGGAGGATGGAGGTAGGTAAAGTTACTGAAACCCTGACAGGGAGGATGGAGGTAGGTAAAGTTACTGAAATCCTGACAGGGAGGATGGAGGTTGGTCAAGTTACTGTAACCCTGACATTGAGGATGGAGGTAGGTAAAGTTACTGAAACCCTGACAGGGAGGATGGAGGTAGGTAAAGTTACTGAAACCCTGACAGTGAGGATGGAGGTTGATCAAGTTACTGAAATCCTGACAGTGAGGATGGAGGTTGATCAAGTTACTGAAACCCTGACAGGGAGGATGGAGGTAGGTAAAGTTACTGAAACCCTGACAGGGAGGATGGAGGTTGATCAAGTTACTGAAATCCTGACAGGGAGGATGGAGGTAGGTAAAGTTACTGAAACCCTGACAGGGAGGATGGAGGTAGGTAAAGTTACTGAAACCCTGACAGTGAGGATGGAGGTTGATCAAGTTACTGAAATCCTGACAGGGAGGGTGGAGGTTGATCAAGTTACTGTAACCCTGACATTGAGGATGGAGGTAGGTAAAGTTACTGAAACCCTGACAGGGAGGATGGAGGTAGGTAAAGTTACTGAAACCCTGACAGGGAGGATGGAGGTAGGTAAAGTTACTGAAACCCTGACAGTGAGGATGGAGGTTGATCAAGTTACTGAAATCCTGACAGGGAGGATGGAGGTAGGTAAAGTTACTGAAACCCTGACAGTGAGGATGGAGGTTGATCAAGTTACTGAAATCCTGACAGGGAGGGTGGAGGTTGATCAAGTTACTGTGAGAGTTATCTGCCGCTACCCAAGGGAAGTCGTGGAAATTTGTTCCGAGAAAATTTGTGAAATATCAACGATTACGCCTGAGTAATGCAGGTAATTTTTGCACAACTGAATTGTTAACTGCTTTAGCATCAAGTTTGTGTATTCAAATTAACAGTAGTATTCCAAAGTGAGTAGATATGTCTTCCAAAACAACTGATGTAAACAAGATATTGTCTGCACTGAGCGACTTATTGACCCAAGCATGTACATGTAAGCGGACAATCAGCGGAGCATGACAACACTGCTCCCACTGCTCAGGGTTATCAATGGTAAGAGTTATGAATGGTAAGAGTTCGAAAGGGCAAATGCTCATGTCAATTCTGATACAATACCGAATGAAATAATGCCCTCAAATGAAATACAGTATCCGTATGGCTATGGTTCAGTAAAACCTGTGTTTCTAAAAGAATCTGATGTATTTGGCTACAATGCTGTCAATAAACAATGGCTTAACCATATAGAGATGTACAGAAGTTTGAGAAATGTGATCAGCGCTGAAAATCTAAGTGGTATTCAACGTACTGGAAATGTGTGGAGGATATATCCCGACAATGCTGACGATCGCGTTACACTCCTCAGTAGGGGTGTGACCGTTAGGGGTAAACATGTATTCCTGGTACCTGAAAATCCAAGGCGACCGAAACATGACCCTGATTATACAACTAGTATCTAACATTCCATTGTCGGTAGATGATCGTGTAATTAAAACCTCGCTAGAGGAGAATGGTTGTGAAATAAAAGTACAGAGAGAAATTAACAATAAACTCACGAATTGTGACACAGGGGACAGAATAGTTTTTACAAAAAAAACTCGAAAAATATTTGCCCAAGACAATGCCCATGGGAAGGTACTATGGGGCTATTTGGTACTACGGTCAACCGAGGGGACAACACAATGAGCAACAAAATAAAAAATGTAAAAAGTGTTGTGAAGGAGGTCATGAACAATCAGAATGTTCCAATGACTGGAAATGTCTATATTGTAAAGAATATGGACATAAAAGGCAAGAGTGCACAAAAATACAGAACACGGAACATACTATCAGTGACACGGAAGAGGAAACACAAAACGAAGAAGAAACACAAAATGAGGAAGGAGCAGATACAAAGCCGGGTGCAACCAGCACTAGAAAAAAAATACGAAGGAAGCAAAAGGAGAAAGGGGGAGAAAATAAAGACAAACAGCAGACTCAGACATTAGACAAGTTCATCAAGGCGGGAAACCACGGTTTTGATACTCCAAAAAATCGTGACAGGAGTCAATCGAAATCGCGAACATCTCCGTTTGACAAAGAAAATAAAAACACAGACAAGTATGAACCATAAACAAACGTGCAAAATAAAGATATAGTACATATTCTTTCCTTAAATGCCCAAGGACATATGGATAAAGGATCTATATCAATGGATGAAAAAACAAAAGTTTGACATTTGACTGTTACAGGAAACACATTTTACACAAAATATACTAAATCGACTAAAAAAGGAAACGGATGATTTTGCTATATGCTAAACAAAATAAAAAAAGGTACAAGTATTATTGTAAGAAAACATTTGAACGCAAATATCATAAATTCTTATATCAAAGATAATGGTAGATTTGTCTAATTAGATATTGAAAAAGAAAACAAAATGCCAAGTATTGCTAATATTTACGCTCCGAATAATCAAAATGAGAGGAACGCTTTTTTAAAATCTGCGTTGATTGATATAAAAGAAAAAAGCACTGGAATGGTTATTGTTGGAGGCGATTTCAATGAAGTTTTAAAAGATTATGATAGAAAAAGTACCTCCCAAGCTAGAAATTAAAATAAAACTTACGGCCTTAAACAGCTTAAAAAATCTTTAAGACTAGAAGACATTTGGAGGGAGAAGAATAGACATAAAACACACTATACGTGGAGACGTAATAGACAAGGAGAAGCTAGTAGGATCGACTACTTTCTAATTGAAAATACCATGAACAATTTAGTAAAATCATCGGACATTAGACCGGCACAAATTAGAAGTACTGATCATCAAGGTATATCTTTAAAATTATTTATGGGTAAAGATAAGGGTCCTGGAATATGGAAGCTAAACAACAGTATACTAGGGGATAAAGTGTATGAAAATCTAATCATTAAATGTATTCAAAATTCAAAACATTACTGTGAAGAGAATAACCTAAGCATGGGATTACTGCACACTTATGATAAAAAACGAATCAATCAAATATAGCATATTAAAATCAGAAAAACAAAAATCAGACATATGCTTACTCGAAGAACGTCTGAGAACAATAAATGAGAAGAAAAATATTACCGTCACTGAGGCGGACGAAGCAAATAGTTTTGAAAAAGACTTAGAAAAATTGTACGAACAAAAAGCAAAAGGCGCACAAATTAGATCACGAATCAAATGGACAGAAGAAGGAGAAAAAAAACACGAATTTTTTTCTAAGTCTTGAAAAGAAAAGACAAACAACAAAAGTAGTAAATGAACTTGAAAATGATAACGAAACTTTAATTCAAGAACCTGAAAAAATATTGAAAGAAATAAAAACATTTTATGAAAATTTATACACGACTATAAATCCGCCTGAGATAAATATAAATGAATACATTAAAAATACAAATGAATTACGCAGCTAAATAATACCGAATCTAAATCTTGTGTAAACTAACAGAAAAGGAATGCAAACATGCACTAAATCATATGAAAAAAAAATAAAAGTCCCGGTACAGATAGATTAACCGTAGAATTTTATCAAGCGTTTTGGAAACACAAAGAATTTAGAACTTAATTCATTAAATGAAGCTTATGACCATGGCGAACTTAACGAATTTCAAAAATATGGACTAGTTTCTCTGATTTATAAAAAAGGTAATGCTGCTAATTAGAGAATTGGAGACCGATATCTCTACTAAACATTGATTATAAAATTGTTGCATACTCTTTAGCAACAGGATTAAAATCAGTTATGCCGAAAATCATTCACACGGATCAAAACGGATATATTAAAAACCGATTCATTGGCTATAATATTAGACAAATTCAAGACATAATTGACTACTCCGAGAAATTTGATATTGACAGTTGTTTACTATTTTTAGATTTTAAAAAAGCTTTTGATACCATAGAATGGAAATTTATGTACACAAGTCTTCAAAAATTTGGTTTCAGAGTTTTGTTTATAAATTGGATAAAAACTTTTTATAATAATATTAAAGGATTTGTGAAAAATAATAATTGGATTACAGAAGAATATTCAATATCCGGTGGAATTAGGCAGGGCTGTCTGTTGTCTTGTTTGATTTTTGTTATAGCAGTAGAGATATTAGCAGCCAGAATAAGAAACGAAAAGGATATTGACGGTTTTAAGATAAATGGAAAAAGTTCGAAAATAGCACAATTGGCTGATGATACAACTCTGTTCTTGAAATGAAAAGATATAAAGCATGCAATTAGCGTTGTTGAAAGGTTTGGGGAATTATCTGGGTTACAATTGAACAAACATAAGACAGAGGGAATGTGGTTAGGGTGCAATAAGGGAAGGAAAAACACTTACGAAGGAATCACATTCAAAAAGGAAATCAAATTATTAGGAATATTCTTTGGAACTAATAAAAAAGTCTCTAAGAATTTAAACTAGGAAAGCAATAACATTTCAATTGATGAAATGTTGAAGAACAGGAAGAAAAGGAAATTAACTTTAATTGGCAAAACAGTTGATACCAAAAATAACCTATACAGCAAATATGCAAGCTGTAGATAAAGAAAAGATACAAGAATTAGAAAAAAGTATCTTTGATTTCTTCTGGGACGGAAAAAGAGATAAAGTTAAAAGGAAAACAGTAATAGGAAAATACGAACAGGGAGGGCTTCAGGTACGACACTTAGAGTCACGTATCGACATTATTAGAATGGGATGGGTGAAAAGACTAACAGACCGATCTGAGGCAAATTGGAAACTGATTCCTTAAAAAATTCTCAGTAATTATGGATCCAACTGGTTGATTTTCAAAAGGAATATGAAAAATATTGAAAACATACCGAATTTGAAAACTAGTGTGACTGACTTTTATCTACAAGTATTGAAAGCTTGGTTTAAATTAGGTGGAGGCTTGAAAAAAGATCCTCAAAGTTTTGCAGACATAAGAAACAAAATTATATGGGGTAACAGACACCTACAATTCAAAGCGAAAGCGCTGATCAATAAGGACTGGGTTGAAAGTGGTATAAGCAGAATAGCAGATGCAGCAAAGTCTCAGAGATGAAAATCTTATCTATAACAAACTAAAAGAAAAACGAAATTGGATAAGTGAAATATCAAAATTAAAAAATGCTATACCAAACCAATGGAAACTATAGTTGAAAAAGGAAGACTCAATAAAAACCTTGGTAAAACATCAGACACTTTATCCCTGTATGATAAAAAGTCAGATAGATACATAACACTAGAAAAGCATAATAACAAAAGTCTTTACAAAAAGGTCTTACAAAAAAAATTGTACCCTCATATATTTTTGATTATTTGGGAAACCAATTTGACATTAAAAGATCACAATTTTTTGAGAATTTCTTTAAATTTGTATTCTACAAAAGGCATGAAAATAAGCAAAAATTTGTCAAATGGAAGTTATTTCATTGTATCATACCCAGTAAATATCAACTCCACAAACGGAAAATGGAAGAAAATAATCTTTGTAATGTTTGTGGTGTTTTAGAAAATTACAGCCACTACTTCATCGAATGTAAGTATTTTGAAACATTTTTTTGAGTATTTTATTGTAGTTTTTAGGCTGATCAAATTACTAAAACCCTGACAGGGAGGATGGAGGTAGGTAAAGTTACTGAAACCCTGACAGGAAGGGTGGAAGTAGGTAAAGTTACTGAAACCCTGAAATGGAGGGTGGAGGTAGGTAAAGTTACTGAAACCCTGACAGGGAGGGTGGAGGTAGGTAAAGTTACTGAAACCCTGAAATGGAGGGTGGAGATAGGTAAAGTTACTGAAACCCTGACAGGGAGGGTGGAGGTAGGTAAAGTTACTGAAACCCTGACAGGGAGGGTGGAGGTAGGTAAAGTTACTGAAACCCTGACAGGGAGGGTGGAGGTAGGTAAAGTTACTGAAACCCTGACAGGGAGGGTGGAGGTAGGTAAAGTTACTGAACTGACAGGGAGGGTGGAGGTAGGTAAAGTTACTGAAACCCTGAGGGAGGGTGGAAAGGGAGGGTGGAGGTAAAGTTACTGAAACCCTGACAGGGAGGGTGGAGGTAGGTAAAGTTACTGAAACCCTGAAATGGAGGGTGGAGGTAGGTAAAGTTACTGAAACCCTGAAATGGAGGGTGGAGATAGGTAAAGTTACTGAAACCCTGACAGGGAGGGTGGAGGTAGGTAAAGTTACTGAAACCCTGACAGGGAGGGTGGAGGTAGGTAAAGTTACTGAAACCCTGACAGGGAGGGTTGAGGTAGGTAAAGTTACTGAAACCCTGAAAGGGAGGGTGGAGGTAGGTAAAGTTACTGAAACCCTGACAGGGAGGGTGGAGGTAGGTAAAGTTACTGAAACCCTGACAGGGAGGGTTGAGGTAGGTAAAGTTACTGAAACCCTGAAAGGGAGGGTGGAGGTAGGTAAAGTTACTGAAACCCTGACAGGGAGGGTGGAGGTAGGTAAAGTTACTGAAACCCTGACAGGGAGGGTGGAGGTTGATAATGTTGCTATGGTTTTCACTACTTCAGTCATTTGCTTATTTACTAATGAGTTGAGTCTGATTATGGCACAGATGGTTCTCACTGAAATTTGAAACCCTACTTAACTCACATTCAAGATAGCAACCACCATCATCTGGTAAAAATTATAACTACTTCTTCCTCTGAATATCTATGTAGCGAGTGATATTACTAAACTGATTTCATAGTCTAAATAACAACAGACGCTGATATAGCTTGTAATGAAGAAATTATCTTGTCAATTTTTGCTTCACTTTCTTCGGAAAATTAGGTGACACTATGTGCTTATTTGGTTATAAACTAATGAGATTTTAGCAAGATGATGATTTCTTATGTTGGACAAGTGAAGATCTGATAAATGTCATAATTTCATTCACAGGTAACAATATATATGGTGAAGATATCAAACCATTCCTTACCAAAATAATGAATTCCACAGAACGGTCAGGGTATATACTAATGGAGAAGATTCATCCCTGGCCACAGACCAATTATCTTCTCAAGGTCGGACTGGACATCAGCCTTCAAAATGTTATAAGTGAAATTGGCATCTATGGTGTTTATCTGGGGTAGGTGTGATTTTGAGTTCATCTGGCCCTAAAGGGAGCTTATGCCATGGTGCAGCGGCCGTCCAGCATCTGGTGTTCAGCATCTCTTGTCCGGCATCTGGTGTTCAGCATCTCTTGTCTGGCATCTGGCATCAACTTTTTCCTTTTAATGACCTTGACATATATTCAAGGTCAAAAGGGTCAGATTTGTCAAAACCTTGAAATGACTTCTTCTCATGAACTGATAGTCCTTTGAGGCATGATATTTGGCTGGTATGTTCCTAGGATGAAGCCTGACAAATTTAAAAATGAATTACCTTGGCCTACGTTCATGATAACAAGGGTCAAATTTTATGTCTTCCGAAAGGAAGGGCATATATTAACAATTTTGTCGGTCCGTGCTTCTGTTGGTCTGGCTGTACGTCATAATTTTGTCTGCAGCATAGGGTTAGAGTTAGAAAAACACAAAAACTGTAAGAGGTATCAACAGAAAACTGCATAGGTAGATAGCTCTCAAGAAGGAGAAGTGCAGTACACCAGAGTCATCATTCTTTTTTTAAGGAGTTATTGTCCTTTGATATTTTTTTATACTTAAAGTTTGTTGGAGCATTACACTAAAACTATAAGAGGTACCAGCATGAAACTTCTTAGATAGATAGACCTCAACAAGAAGGATGGCAGAGCAGAAGAATCATAAGAATCATGTATGCCCACATAACATGCCAGTGCACTAGTTATATGTACCCACATAACATGCCAGTGCACTAGTTATATGTTCCCACATATTAGGTTAGTGCACTAGTTATATGTGCCCACATAACATGCCAGTCCACTAGTTATATGTGCCCACATATCAGGTTAGTGCACTAGTTATATGTACCCACATAACATGCCAGTCCACTAGTTATATGTTCCCACATATTAGGTTAGTGCACTAGTTATATGTGCCCACATAACATGCCAGTCCACTAGTTATATGTTCCCACATATTAGGTTAGTGCACTAGTTATATGTGCCCACATAACATGCCAGTCCACTAGTTATATGTTCCCACATATTAGGTTAGTGCACTAGTTATATGTGCCCACATATTAGGTTAGTGCACTAGTTATATGTGCCCACATAACATGCCAGTCCACTAGTTATATGTGCCCACATAACATGCCAGTCCACTAGTTATATGTGCCCACATATCAGGTTAGTGCACTAGTTATATGTACCCACATAACATGCCAGTCCACTAGTTATATGTTCCCACATATTAGGTTAGTGCACTAGTTATATGTGCCCACATAACATGCCAGTCCACTAGTTATATGTTCCCACATATTAGGTTAGTGCACTAGTTATATGTGCCCACATAACATGCCAGTCCACTAGTTATATGTTCCCACATATTAGGTTAGTGCACTAGTTATATGTGCCCACATAACATGCCAGTCCACTAGTTATATGTGCCCACATATTAGGTTAGTGCACTAGTTATATGTGCCCACATAACATGCCAGTCCACTAGTTATGTGTGCCCACATATTAGGTTAGTGCACTAGTTATATGTGCCCACATAACATGCCAGTCCACTAGTTATGTGTTCCCACATATTAGGTTAGTGCACTAGTTATATGTGCCCACATAACATGCCAGTCCACTAGTTATGTGTGCCCACATATTAGGTTAGTGCACTAGTTATATGTGCCCACATAACATGCCAGTCCACTAGTTATATGTTCCCACATATTAGGTTAGTGCACTAGTTATATGTGCCCACATAACATGCCAGTCCACTAGTTATGTGTGCCCACATATTAGGTTAGTGCACTAGTTATATGTATATATCATGCCAGTCCACTAGTTATATGTTCCCACATATTAGGTTAGTGCACTAGTTATATGTGCCCACATATCAGGTTAGTGCACTAGTTATATGTGCCCACATAACATGCCAGTGCACTAGTTATATGTTCCCACATATTAGGTTAGTGCACTAGTTATATGTGCCCACATAACATGCCAGTCCACTAGTTATATGTTCCCACATATTAGGTTAGTGCACTAGTTATATGTGCCCACATAACATGCCAGTCCACTAGTTATATGTTCCCACATATTAGGTTAGTGCACTAGTTATATGTGCCCACATAACATGCCAGTGCACTAGTTATATGTGCCCACATATCAGGTTAGTGCACTAGTTATATGTACCCACATAACATGCCAGTCCACTAGTTATATGTTCCCACATATCAGGTTAGTGCACTAGTTATATGTGCCCACATAACATGCCAGTCCACTAGTTATATGTTCCCACATATTAGGTTAGTGCACTAGTTATATGTGCCCACATAACATGCCAGTCCACTAGTTATGTGTGCCCACATATTAGGTTAGTGCACAGTTATATGTACCCACTAACATGCCAGTGGCCACTAGTTATGTGTGCCCACATATTAGGTTAGTGCACTAGTTATATGTGCCCACATAACATGCCAGTCCACTAGTTATGTGTTCCCACATATTAGGTTAGTGCACTAGTTATATGTGCCCACATAACATGCCAGTCCACTAGTTATGTGTGCCCACATATTAGGTTAGTGCACTAGTTATATGTGCCCACATAACATGCCAGTTAGTTATGTGTTCCCACATATTAGGTTAGTGCACTAGTTATATGTGCCCACATAACATGCCAGTCCACTAGTTATGTGTTCCCACATATTAGGTTAGTGCACTAGTTATATGTGCCCACATAACATGCCAGTCCACTAGTTATATGTTCCCACATATTAGGTTAGTGCACTAGTTATATGTGCCCACATAACATGCCAGTCCACTAGTTATATGTTCCCACATATTAGGTTAGTGCACTAGTTATATGTGCCCACATAACATGCCAGTCCACTAGTTATATGTGCCCACATATTAGGTTAGTGCACTAGTTATATGTGCCCACATAACATGCCAGTCCACTAGTTATATGTTCCCACATATTAGGTTAGTGCACTAGTTATATGTGCCCACATATCAGGTTAGTGCACTAGTTATATGTGCCCACATAACATGCCAGTGCACTAGTTATATGTTCCCACATATCAGGTTAGTGCACTAGTTATATGTGCCCACATATCAGGTTAGTGCACTAGTTATATGTGCCCACATAACATGCCAGTGCACTAGTTATATGTTCCCACATATCAGGTTAGTGCACGAGTTATGTGTGCTCACATATCAGGTTAGTGCACTAGTTATATGTGCCCACATAACATGCCAGTGCACTAGTTATATGTGCCCACATATCAGGTTAGTGCACTAGTTATGTGTACATTTATCATGCCAGTGCAGTTGTTATATGTCTTTCACTTTTGGTGAGATTCTGTTATTTACATCTTTCTGGTGCATGGAAAGAAATAATCAGTAGACAACATTCACTAAAGCAAACTCTCTTGTGCTGCAATTTAAAAGCTATTTAATGATAAAGCATTGCACACGTAGAATGCCAAATGCTTGTGTGGTGCCTTTTTGATTTCAATGTACGATTAACTCCTGACTTTTATAATAACTACATGTATAATGTCAGTAGAGAGGACCTGTGATAATACAGGAAACTCGGTCTTCACAGAAAAATCGGGCCAAATATTAAACAAGTAATTCTGAATGATTCAGTATGTTTACATATTTAGCAACTATTTGTATAGAAATGTTTTTCATCTGTCACATTATTTTGAGTTATCTGCAGTGGCTTGGCACAGGAAATAATTTTCTTACCAATGGCTGGGCAAAGGAAATGATGCCATTATTTGTGACTCCTTGTTTGTTTACATAACTACAAGGGCTTTGGAGTCTAGACAAATATAAATATGCTTACCATAATTCTAGCAAATGTCTATTTTATTTCATTCTCGAAAATACAACATCAAAAAGTAGACTCTTATAAAGTAAACAAATTCAAATTTGTTTTGTAAAATGTCTATATTACAGAAGTGATGACACAGAGATCTACAACAGTTTAGCTGGTCACTTGGTAAGGTCCAAGACTTTGGGCACAGATGAAGGCGGACTGATGGTGGGGCTGTCCTGTCTCGACACACCATTTCTCATTGACTGATACAGCTGTTGAATCCTGTTGGTGTAGTCTTGTGTTTTGTTCCTCAACAGACATACCAGAATTATGAAATGTGTGTAAAGGAGCAGTGTTTTAATATGATAGGAGAATTGTTGATTTTCGATATTTATTTTTTCATGATTAAATTATCATTTTAAATAAAGTAATAATCTTGTAAGATATCCAATGCTAAAGGGAATGTGGTCATCTGAGAGTTTAGACCTTATTCAACATGGTGACATTTTAACTGTGGTCATCTGAGAATTTAGACCTTATTCAACATGGCCACGTTTTAACTGTGGTCATCTGAGAATTTAGACCTTATTCAACATGGTGACATTTTAACTGTGGTCATCTGAGAGTTTAGACCTTATTCAACATGGTCACATTTTAACTGATTTTAAGGGACGATCTTGAAGAAATAACCTAAAGGAAGTTTATAGATGAGTTGATAGAACAATTAAATGTTAATATGAGTTCTTGATAATTACAGTAATTAACAATTCTTTTATTAATTTAAGTGGTATTTCATTTGAAGTGACAATCTTATAGAAGGTTTAATAAGAGACGTTAATTAGAATTAATCATGAAAAAAGGCAATATTAGCAGTGAATTGATATGATAGCTCTAGTCAAATCTAGTTTTCTAAAGGAAGAAAATTTTAAGATTTTGAATAAAGAACTTCATCGCATTTACTATTGTAATTAAATTAAAAAATAATGAACCAGAAAACATGTCTAAATACATAAAGTATGTAGGAGATTATAATAGTTTGAGTGGCATTATATTTGTAATCTTACATAATATTTGATGTTCACAAGGAACGACTTTTGATGTCTTCCACTGTACATGACTACGGCGTATAAATTAGCATTTAAGATGTAAACAGTGTATGGGTATTTATACAAATTGTGTTCTGTGATTGGAATTGGAATTTACATTTATGACCTTATAATCAAATTGTGATGTTAATATTTGATTTAGCTTAAAATACATTATATTATTTTTCATCAAAATCAGGTGTCATCAGACTCTTTATGACTTAATTGAACTCGCTGAAACTTTTGCATTTATATTGATGATTAGTATCTTGTTTATATGGCATGGTTCTCCAGTGTTTATTCTGAAATCATCATTAGTTTCTCAGGTACATAATGTTATATGGTACATATATAAAACACTGGAATTATAATAAGACCTAAAAATATTAATCTGATTTTGACAAAGTTTTGTAATGTTTGAACTCTTTGTTCTTTACAGAGTTAATGCCCTTTGTTATAAAATTTTTGTCTGGAGTATTACTTTGCCCACTCTGAAGCAAGGATCATACTTAGACAATGTGCTGTGTACCAAATTCATGGCTTTCGACCCCTAAATTACAGGGGTATTGGACTTTATTGAAAATGTCTTGTCCATAGCATAACTCTGCTTGCATTTAATGAAGGATGATAAAAATTGGTGTATACATTGATCATATGAAGATGATGTGCTTTGTGTCGATGTTAGGGCTCAAAATCCTTAAGTTACAGAATTATTGCCTTTTGTTAAAATTGTTTTTGTCCTGTAATGTGGTTTTAGGGGAGCATTCATCAGTGTCACTGATACTCTTATTGTCTCTTATCTGATTAAAAGTGGTTAATTCATACCATCTTCGTCAGTGATAGTACGCTTTACATTGGTCATTTATCTGATAAAGGTTACCACCATGTAGTCATCGAAACCTTGTGTTATAAGAATTTCAATTCTATCCTTGACATGTGTCTATGTTGATGGAAACATGATTTCAAAACTGATTATGTTTTCAGCATTCAACAATAAATATTTGAATACAAGTGCAACATATTTGTTGCTCTTTCAATAAATGTGATGGGTTGAAGATCAAATTGATAGATATATTGATTTTTGTAATAGTAGGTATTTTATAGTAGGGTTCTTTTAACCATATAATTAGCTTAATAGATTTACCTGTATATCCATATATATAATATATAATATCGAATAATCCATATATATAATATATGATATTGAATAAATGATGATCTACCTGTATGATTATCTATGAAAGGATATTGTATTCTCTCAGAAATCTGTGTTACATTGTCAGGATTTGTGACATTTTTAACAGTCACTATCGAGTAAAAGTGCATTTGCTAATTAGAGTAACATTGTTGGCTCATTTGCAGGTCATGTCGTTGACATTGATGTCATCAACAGTTACCATCAGAGCTTAGCATGTAAATGGAAAATTTGTTGCATTTAAATTAATTTGTATGGAGATTCTGTTTCTTGGTAGGGGTTTTATAATTAAGGTAAATATATATATATCTCCAAAGTGTCTGTGTTTTAATTGCATGTTGATTTTTTCCTACTTAGTTGTACACTGTTGTAGCTTTGTTACTTTGGCTGTTTATATACCCCATGCATTAAAACGATATTACTTATAGCTTTGTGTGTGTACACATGTTCAGTAAAAGGTCTGTATGCAAGATATCTCGCAAATCCCTCAATAGATTCACTGTATCCTTCTACATATCACATGTAACATCAAATTCTAGTTTTAAATGCATTTTAACGGTCACTATTCAAGCTTACAAGGTCAACAAATTTCAATAGGATCATTTGAGGAAGGGGTTTTGTGTGCACTAACTCGCTTTCCATTGATTGTTTTGAAGGTAACCTGTCAGATTGTCACCATTACTGTTGTTTATGTCTCATGTTGTCATTTTATAGCTTTCTGTGGTATCACTCTCACATTGTTGTACATTGTTAATAAATTATATCTTGGCCTCAGTGTTGACACCACTACTGTAACTAGTTGTCCTCTGGACACAGTACTGCTGCTGTGCTGTCACTAGGACAGAGTGTTGTTACTAGCACACTGTACTGTGACTAGCACACTGTCACTAGCACACTGTCACTAGCACACTGTACTGCTGCTGTGCTGTCACTAGGACAGAGTGTTGTTACTAGCACACTGTACTGTGACTAGCACACTGTACTGTCACTAGGACACTGTATTATCACTAGCACACTGTACTGTCACTAGCACACGGTACTATCACTAGCACACTGTACTATCACTAGCACACTGTACTGTCACTAACACACTGTAATGTCACTAGGACACTGTACTGTCACTAGCACACTGTACTGTCACTAGGACACTGTACTATCACTAGCACACTGTACTGTCACTAGGACACTGTACTATCACTAGCACACTGTACTATCACTAGCACACTGTACTGTCACTAGCACACTGTACTGTCACTAGGACACTGTACTATCAATAGCACACTGTACTGTCACTAGCACACAGTACTGTCACTAGCACACTGTACTGTCACTTGCACACTGTACTGTCACTAGGACACTGTACTGTCACTAGGACACTGTACTGTCACTAGCACACTGTACTGTCACTAGCACACTGTACTATCACTAGCACACTGTACTGTCACTAGGACACTGTACTGTCACTAGCACACTGTAATGTCACTAGGACACTGTACTATCACTAGCACACTGTACTGTCACTAGCACACTGTACTGTCACTAGGACACTGTACTGTCACTAGGACACTGTACTGTCACTAGCACACTGTACTGTCATTAGGACACTGTGCTGTCACTAGCACACTGTACTGTCACTAGCACACTGTCACTAGCACACTGTAATGTCACTAGCACACTGTACTGTCACTAGGACACTGTACTGTCACTAGCACACTGTACTGTCACTAGGACACTGTACTGTCACTAGCACACTGTACTGTCACTAGGACACTGTACTGTCACTAGGACACTGCTGTCACTAGCACACTGTACTGTCACTAGCACACTGTACTGTCACTAGCACACTGTACTATCACAAGGACACTGTACTGTCACTAGGACACTGTACTATCACTAGGACACTGTACTGTCACTAGGACACTGTACTGTCACTAGGACACTGTACTGTCACTAGCACACTGTACTATCACTAGGACACTGAACTGTCACTAGCACACTGTACTGTCACAAGGACACTGTACTATCACTAGCACACTGTACTGTCACTAACACACTGTAATGTCACTAGCACACTGTACTGTCACTAGGACACTGTACTGTCACTAGCACACTGTACTGTCACTAGGACACTGTACTGTCACTAGCACACTGAACTATCACTAGGACACTGTACTGTCACTAGGACACTGTGCTGTCACTAGCACACTGTACTGTCACTAGGACACTGTACTGTCACTAGCACACTGTACTGTCACTAGCACACTGTACTATCACAAGGACACTGTACTGTCACTAGAACACTGTACTATCACTAGGACACTGTACTGTCACTAGCACACTGTACTATCACTAGGACACTGTACTGTCACTAGCACACTGTACTGTCACTAGCACACTGTACTGTCACTAGGACACTGTACTATCACTAGCACACTGTACTGTCACTAGCACACTGTACTGTCACTAGGACACTGTACTGTCACTAGCACACTGTACTGTCACTAGGACACTGTACTGTCACTAGGACACTGTAATATCACTAGGACAGTGTTGTCAATAGGATATTATCTTGTCACTTGGACACAGTGTTGTCACTAGGATATTATCTTGTCACTTGGACAAAGTGTTGTCACAAGGATATTATCTTGTCGCTTGGACTCAGTGTTGTCACTAGGATATTATCTTGTCACTTGGACACAGTGTTGTCACTAGGATATTATCTTGTCAGTTGGACACAGTGTTGTCACTAGGATATTATCTTGTCACTGTGATAGTGTTTACATATTGCTGAAATGAATTGCAATTTTCATCTTTGAATTACTTAAGCCTGTAGATTTTCCAGAAATATTTCTTTTACTCTCTTTAACAGGACAGGAGATGAAGCTTTTACTAATTCTCAGTTTTCTCTGTTTTGATTTCAGAGTGAGAAAGCTGGTCTTAAAATTGTATTTTAAGAAAATTTGAGTAAATTTGATCACTGAAAAATGTTTATTGTTTTTTCCTAATTTTTAAAGACTTTTCAATTTAATGCACTACATTTCATGAGATATCATTTAATTGGTGAGAATTTCCTATGGGAGAACATTATAGAACATTTCGGTGTATACAAATATGCACCAGAATTAAAGATACAATATAAATATGTCTACCTTCCAGTCACATCAAGATATCCTTGAAAACCTGTCCGTTGTGTAGAAAATCCATTTCCAAAGAAGAGATATTGCAAAGGAACTTGTAGGAAAAGATGAGTAAAGTATTTTAAAGATATTAAAATTTACCGGTCATGACCAGACATCCATTGGTTAGTAAAATTTTTGATATTACAAACGGGCCACTACCTGTGAAATTGTCAAAACGATGTATGAGAGTGATTCAAAATATGATAATGTCCACTCTGAAAGACTTGATAGGATGCTATAATTTTTTTTTTTCATAAACTGACCAACAATTTTCAAGGTCATGTGGGTAAATTTTGTGGAAACATCAAAGAACATATACAAGGTTTAGAGCAAGGATGTTTAGATTTGCTCAAATGAAGAAAAAATAAGGACGGCCAATTGTTAGTCGATCCATCTTATTGTAAAGGGTAAAATTTCTGCGTTAATTGTTCCTTCAGTTTTGGAAATGGAAGCAAAATCACTGAAAGTTAAAAGGGAGACACTGAAGGATTTTCAGGTATCACACATCGTCATCATGCAACCAGCTAAAGATCATAGGCTACTTTGGAGCAATGTGGCAAAGATTCATAGAACAGCACAGCACCACAGAATGACCCAAACTGGATGTATCATATCAATAACTTCTTTATATTATTGAAGTAGCAGACCAAGAGACGAGGAGACCTAATGTGACTCCTCACATCAGCAGATAGATGATGTGGGGATGATCTAACGGTGACCACGAAAACCCATGTACAAAACAGCTGGATCCTGATACCTCTATATAATCTCGTAATGAGGATCAAACTAATGAAATCACAGTGTATAATCATGAAGTAGGTGAGATTCCCTTGGCAGTTTCATATAAAGGTCAAAGGAGATGCCACACTCTCTGGGTGACTCACAAATCTAAGAATACACTGTCACAGACTTCCAAATGGATGAGCAGTTTGTTTGTTGGTATTGTTTAATATACAAATGAATTCAGGAAGACACTGGAGAGGCAAGTGAATGGCTGAAGTCCCATCTAGCGTTACAGCTACAGGTCTGCAAGTCATTCCATAAAGGGACAGCCCACTGACTGTAGCTGTCAAGGCGTTTAAAGTGGCCAAGATTACACACAGTAATGACCTTCTTGCATTCCATTAACACTAGGAATGCAGACATCTGAAGCAGAGATTATGTTAGATCTGACAGGCATGGGGGAACACTTTTCCACTGTATTGGAAGACGAGGCAATGCCCCATTTCAGCAATAGAATAAGGTTAATGTAACAATGAATAGAAAGTCAACAGAAATCAGACATGTAGCTTCGCAGCATGCCTAGTCCGAGGAGACTTTGATCGACAAGAAGCTAGTTTTCCCAGATGTTGTGGGGATGAAACTTGAACCTTGCCTGGTGATAAAGCAGTGCAATCATGGCTTACTATTTCATACAGACCTCAAGAAAATCGGAAATAAAACGATCTGGTGGAGAGTTGGATGGCGAAGGGGTTGACTGTCCATGAAGATGGAAGTTGGCATGAGAGGATTCCTAGCACAGTCAACATGGAGAATACTCTAGTCAGCTGGAATCACGTGCAGAGTTAGGAAAACAGACATCAGACATTTGTTTTGTCGCATTCAGACATCCAGAAAAAAGTCATACTTCTCTTATATTGTTGATGTCTACTGCTTCTGTGTAAACTAGTCCCAAACCCCTTCTCATTTGCTCTCTCAAACCTTTGATATGCTTTATTATGCGAAATCAAAATGAATCCTATGTGAGACCTTTAATAATTCATTTTTTATTTACAATGTAGTAAGAACGAAACCCCTATCAATACCAATATTTCCTCCGCTCATTTGTTCCTTTAAGAAAAGGAGCTGCCTCCGATGTCACTGTTTGGTAATATATACATAGGCCCTTAATCATTTGAGATGCCTTCTTTTTAAACACTTATGGTAATGCTGTTAATATACTTCATTATCTACAGGAATACTCCAGGGCAATTGCGACACACCAGACTCTTCTACATCAGCCGCTTATCTCGATGTTTTCCTCCAATTGTATTATAGCTGTATTATAATCACTATGGTTTCAGTTACCTTATTGCGAGTTTTCATTTCTAGATATCAATATCCCTGCATCTCCAGCTTATGGTGTTCAAATACCTGTTCCAATTATCATGATTTCTGTGTAAGAAATCATCAACTGACAGCCGAAGTCATAACACAGGGTTTCAAAAGATGTCGGTTAATGAAAATTATGGGGAAAATCTACAGTCATCTCAGTGATCTCATTGAGAAATATTCTATTTCTTTGTGTGATTTGAAGCTGGATGTGTTTTATGCTTGTTAGTTTGCCTGTTGGTTCTGTTGTTGTATACCTTGTTCTGACATTACTTACTTGGATTGACCACGGTTTACAAGGCAGAAGTCGTGAAGGAAGCATAAGACGCTTACTCTTCTGAAACACCAGTTCTTATTCCCCTTGTACTTTTTCAGGAGTCTTTGTGTAAATCTTTCTTTTCTTCATAGTTTGTCCTGGTTTTATTGAATTTGAATTTGGATTATGCTTATGTTGGTATCTTCTTGTTGTTTCTTGAGAAGTTGGAAAATGAATCTGAATCATTCGATGAAGTTTTTCTATAGTACATGCTACTGCAGTAGAGAAATGTGTCCATTTAGATAAATTTAATCCAAGTCATCCCCATTGAGATGAATTTAGGGTGACACCCTTATATTCCAAAGGCCTAAAAGTCTGAATTCCCAATAGTCCGAAGGTCCAATAGTCCGAAGGTTCAATAGTCCGAAGGTCCATTAGTTCGAAGGCCCGATAGTCCAAAAATGGTTAAGTATTTTTGTTTCTTATTTAACTGTAAATGAAATAATGACGAAATTTAGAGAGAAAAATAGTTAAGTAATAAGTACAGAAATCTTCCTAACATTTATCACAGGTTTTGGCGCAAAAAATAGCAAGAAAAAAATGGCCCTACTCTTTTATCTTGTACTATAACAGTTAAGTGAAAGGCGACTTATATTTGTAAGGAATGGAATGTTAACAGAAATGGCGCGACAAAAATGTAGAAGAAAGCATGCACGGTAAACAGTACAGGGAATCCGACTTACATGAGCGGCGAAGATGTTGCGGGAAAAAAAACTGAGAAAATTCTGACTGTTGCACCTTCGGACTTTAGGGCCTTCGGACTATTGGGCCTTCGGAATATAAGGCGGTCTCCGAATTTAGTCCCAGGGTCATCCCCTGGATTTCCACATTTCTCCATATACATTTATTGTTATTATTGAATTTTCATTTTTGTACTCATCCAAATGTCCAAAATTCCAAATGAGCCCGAGAATTACATGTATGTAAGTGCTATACATAATTGAAAGTTTAATGTTACTGCACCAAATTAAAGTGCTCCTATATACAATAGATAGATCCAGAGTTGATTGTCACTCTATACAGACCTGAGCTAATTTAATAATTTACAATGTACATCCAAATAAAAGTGTTGCATTAAAGTGAAATAAGTAATTACTGATCCGATAATTGAATTGTTGTATTTAGTTTAACGTTTTTCACGGTTACTAGTTATTTTTTCTTACCAAATATATTATATGCTATCATGAACAGCAATTTCCTTTTTTTTTAATAATTGATGTTAATGGATGTTTTAGAAAACAACAGCAACGTTATATCAACTTTTAAATCAACCTGTCAAAAATAAAAAAATATATATATCTATTTGTTGATATGATCATGTGCATTACATATTTCCCGGCTTAGTTCGTCTCCGACTTTTAGTATCGACCAAAATAACATTCGAAAATTTCTCGCCTCGATTATAGTACCCGTAGGAAGCAGTCGAGGTGTTCCTACTGCCGAAATAAGCAGTCGGAACACCTTGGATTCGAATCAGGTACCTTAGATAGAAGGTGCTGTGGCGAGGTGTTTCGAATGCGATATAACTGTCATGGCGGCGCCTATGTTCTCCAAACGTGAGTCCCTTGGAAAGAGAATATTTGAAGCATCTTCCTTTCTGAACTCAAAATCCAAACACAAGGGCACAGTATTGAATCATTATTTCAATTGTTCAGTAGGTATACATTATAAATTTACATTATTATTATTGTTATCTTTTGATGTTTAGACGACTGAACGCTGTGTGTCACCTGTTTTGGCGTATACAGCGCAAGAGAAGATAACATATATAATAAGTGTTCTGATAATACATTGTAGGTTTAATATAATCAAGTAAAGGCAATCAAACAGATGGGGACACTGACCTATAATGGTCATGTATTTGAATGACAGTTACTGTGACAGTAATCAATTTGTTACTCAAATGCAGGATAGTTTGCACTAGAAGCACAAAATTCTTTATTCGTTTGCAACGAAAAAGCTCATCGCATTTTATGTGATACAAAAGCCAGTGTGACACAGCATAAGAAATGTTCTTATTTTGTTATCTTTAACTTTCTGCGGAAATGACAACTTGGACATGTATTATTGACTTTGTTCTCCGTTTATGACAAGTGAGTTGCCGTTGGGAACATTTAAGTGCCAATGTCGTAGGTGGGGAACATTAAGTGCAAATATCGTAGATGAGCCTGACTTTACCAATGTTCAAGTTTTAGTCACATCATAAGCAATGGAATTGATAAACTTTATTAATTGAACAAAATGTCAGACAACTGAAATATTAACTTTTAGTGTAAAAATGTACATGGGTCCTTGGTTTGGATAAAGAGCAGGCGTGATAATGCCAGCACAGAGGTTAGGGTTAGGTTAGCATTAGGGATTGATTATTAAGTAATTTTAATGGACTTCCAAATACTATCAACACATTTACCTATTGTAGAACCCCATTCCTCTTCCTCTCTGGTCTTAAACCAGTCCTCTTGCTGCGCCTTGCTGAGTGTTAGGCTACACTGTAGGTCTACAATTAGGCCAGGGGGTCGTCTTCTAAAATTGTAGTTTTAGAACAGGTCAAGTAGCATAATAGCCCCTCTCTACCTCATCTCTGTATCCCACTCTCTCCCATCTCTTGCTACTTTCCCCTCCTACTCAATTGCCAATCTTTTCTCGTCTCCTGAAAGGCCGTAATAGTGGATGTTAAAACTGTTAAATAAATAAATTGGTTTTTGGGTCATGTCAAAACTATGATGCCCTTTTTTGTTGTACTTGTTCAAAAGAACTTTATGTGTTTCTATTTCAAATTATCCAGTATTTCAATTACAATTACAAACCAGGACAATTCAAACATTTTTATTCAAATATTGGATGTGATGGAAACTTTTGAGAATGATAGGGTAATAATCTGTGGTGATTTTAACCTAAATAAGTTATAAGAAATTATTGTGTACATTGCTCTTGTTGATAAATTTAGGGAACACCATCCTGATACTAGGTGATATACTTGGCAATGTGTTAATCCTGTGAAACAAGCTAGAATGGATATTTTCTTGTCTCTGAAACTCTTTGTTCAAATGTCAGCAAGTCTAATTCATGCCAGGCTATAGATCAGATAACTCTGCGCCAGTAATATCTTTAATAATGAATGAATAAGAGATATCACGTGATGGCCTGAGTGTACTGACCGGTGCTTGTGTGGTGGGGACATTTTGATGTAATTCTTATATTTCTCGACATTTTTCTAAGCTCCAGACTCCAAGTAAGTGTACACGGACATTCAATTACAAACTGTACCCTATATTTTTGCACCATATTTAGGATATCAGGTCAGTTTGGCGATTTTTGTGATTCATAGTGACCGAACAAAGGACAGCCATCTTAGCTATATATAGCCACATATAGAAACATTACTTATATAAAATACGTATAGTGAACAGTATATATAGTATGGCGTGCTCGTCTAAAACTGATACAGGGTTCCATATTACCAAAGAACAGGCTCTAGTTTTCACAACCCCTATTTGTGGAGCTGCTACTGATAAACGGAAACAAATGTCTAGTCCAGTGTCTCCGGACATTATCGAGAACAAACGCCCTGATTTAGGAACACCGGGTTCTCACGTAACCGGTAATTCAAACATGGCTGGCAATAAACTTGAATCCCAAATTTCACCTGAATTTCTGCAAGAATTTGCCCAGATGCTTGCTCCTACCATAGCAACAATGGTGGCTAGTTTAATAGAAAACTCACTCACTCAGACAATCCAACCTATGATACAGAGTGCTGTGAGTACCGCCATTAATAATGACAGCCAACTCGACAGTATCGTCACTAAAAACGTCAGGGAAAAAGTGTCACCCCTCTTACAAACAATTGAAAAGCAAGCATCAGAATTAAAGGATCTGAAAACGGAAATGAATGATCTTCGCTCAGAGTTGGAAGAACAACAACAGTACTCCAGGCGCACTGCGCTTAAATTCCACAACGTCCCAGTACCCCACGGGGATCTTTCTGCTTTTGATACACATGAGGCAGTAATAAACATTGCTCGTGCTATCAAGGTAAACATAAATCGGGAGGACATTTCCAGGTCCCATGTTCTGGGTAAGGTCAAAAATGGTACGACGACTGTTATTGCGCGCTTTGTTCGCTACACAGACCGACACAAAATCTTCCAAAACAAAAAACAGTGTAAAAACCTAGACAACAACATCTTCATTACGGAGAGTCTCACAGGACACCGATCAGGACTTGTAAGCCGTCTCAACAAGCTACGCAAAGAAAAACACATTTATGCCCTGTGGACTATGGACGGCAGAATCTTTTATAAAACGAGTGAATTCTCCGACAAAATCATTATAAAATCTGCAGAATGTGTAAGAGCACTAGAGTTGAAACATCACCCAAGCTCCGTATAATAGATTCCGTGTTTTTTCCTAAAAATGGTCATGTATATATGTCTATGATAACATAGAGGTTGTATCTTATGAAAATTTTTAATATCACATATTACAAGTTTGTTATGCGTCTCATGATATATTAAAAAAATTGTATGTGTCTAATGATATATCACAATTTTGGTATATGTCTAATGATATGTTATAAATTTGATATATGTCTAAAGAAATATTACAAATGATTTGAGTCTAACGGAATAGAACACAATTGGTATGCATTATATATATTACAAATATGGTATGTGATATATGGCATCTGACAAATTTGAGATGTGTCTAATGATATATTCTAAGTTTCGTCTGTGTCCAATGATGCATGTATATAACAAATTTTAGGATTTGTTTCATGATATCATATTGAAAAAATTGGTGATATGTCTAATGACATATTACAAATTTAAATTACGGTAATATTTTATGTGTAATGAAATAATACACAAGATATATTAAAAATTTGATGTGTGACTAAAGGCATAAAACAATTTTTGATATGTGTCTAATGATATATTACAATTTTTGGTATGTGTCTAATGATATATTACAGATTTTGGTATGTGTCTATTGATATACAATGTATTACAATTTTTGGTATGTGTTTAATGATATACAATGTATTACAATTTTTGGTATGTGTTTAATGATATACAATGTATTACAATTTTTGGTATGTGTTTAATGATATACAATGTATTACAATTTTTGGTATGTGTCTAATGATATGTTATAAAATTTATATATGTCTAAAGAAATATTACAAATGATTGAAGTCTGATGGAATAGAACACAATTGACATGTATTATGGTATACTACAAACATGGTATGTGAAAAATGGCATATAACAGATTTGATATGTGTCTAATGATACAATATAAATTTTCGTCTGTGTCTAAAGACACAGAAATAGTACACATTTGGTATGTATTATGATATATAGCAAACTTCGTATGTGACAAGTGGCATATGGCAAAGTTGATATGTGTCAAAAAATGTATTACAAATTTCCGTCTGAATTTAAATGGCTCTTAATATTTAATTCTAATAATGTGGTTTGTGTCTAATGATATATATAAAAAAAAAACCTTTGTATATGTCAAATGAAATACTACACACTTGCTATGGCCTTGGTGATATATTACAAAGTTGATGTGTGACTATCAGCATTATAACAAGTCTTGATATACGACTATAGGAATAAAACTAATTTGATATGTGTCAAGGGAAAACTTACAAGTTTTGATATTTGCCTAACGATTTATTGCACATTCTGGTATGTGTCAAGTGATATATTATAAATTAGATATATGTCCTAATAAGATATTACAAATTTAGTATGAGTATGCGACTAATTGCACATGGCAAATGTGATATTTGTCTGATGATATATTACAATTATTGGTCTGTGTCTGATGATATATTACAATTATTGGTCTGTGTCTGATGGTATATTACAAATATTGGCCTGTGTCTGATGATATATTACAAATATTGGTCTGTGTCTGATGATATATTACAGATTATTGGTCTGTGACTGATGATATATTACAAATATTGGTCTGTGTCTGATGATACATTACAATTAATGGTATATCTAACGAGATATTTCAAATATTGGTATGTGTCTTAAGATAAGATACAAATTTGGGTAAATGTCTAATGATATATTACAAATATTGGTATGTGTCTAAAGATACAGTACAAATACTTGCATATGTCTAATGATATATTACAAATATGTCTAATGATATATTACAAATAATATATAACTAATGGCATAATGCAATTTTGCTACATGTCTAATGATATATTAAAATATTGTCTAATGATATATTAAAAAAAATGGTATGTGTCTAATGATATTATCAATTTGAATTTGATATTTATCTATTGGAATATTACAAATCTGGTATAGACTAACGAAAATACATTTTGCTGCGTACTACGAGATATTACAAAATGGTATGTGACTAATGGCATACTGCAGATTTGTTATGTGTCTAATGATATTGTACAATATTAAGTCTGTGTCTAACGATATATTACAAATTTCCGTCTGTGCCTAATGGTATATTACAATTTAATGATATATTAAAAAGATTGGTGTGTTTCAATTTATGTTAGGTCCTTTACTTGTCCTGTACATATTGTTATGATGTTATATCTGAAAGTGTTTATCTAAATGTAATTATCTAAGTTCTCCATCACGCAACGTGCCATACACAGAT